GATTTTTTTCTGTGTCTTCCCATTAAAATCCTGTCTTTGTCGCTCAAAGATGGTCGGAAGTCATCGAAAAAGTCCTTCGCTCTCTCCACTTGATGTACTGCTTCGATTTTCTATCGATTTTTGGAGGTTCTCTGCCAGAAACAGAAATTTTCTACAAGTTTTCTACTCGGTTTCAGAGCTTGGAATTATCGTCTCGAATAATTCTGAATCATTTTCTTGCGTGATTTCGGCAACACTGCAGGCTGATTTCTTCTCCCCATAAATGTTCCAAGACTATTCGAAACGGTCCTATTGGATGGAATGGTTAACATATTTCATCGATTTCAATATTCTAAATATGATCAAATATTTGATCATATAAACATCCATTCTATTTTGATCATCTTTTTGCGATAGATAATGAAATAATGCAATACACTACTAAATCTGTTGCACGTCGCATGCCGATCACTTACATAGGCTGACGATCAATCAAGTCATTGCATTCTAATTAATCTTTGAACAGTCAATAATGCATTGAATACAATGAAAGCTAGTGTATATCATTCATTGTAGTTTATTTAGCGTCGTCAGTTCATCGCTGTCTATTCATTTTAATGCTTTGTTCAACCTATTCATTGAAATGAATTGACATTGTCTGATCTCGGTTCGTCTAACGATGACGATGGCTAATATTGAGAAACAAATGATAGAATTATGAAGAAATTTTTAAAAAGTCGAATCGTTGGGGTCAAATTCGACTCGACTCGACTCGACAGTAGATCTGACCGGACGCGACTCGACTCGACACATTTCTCAAACTTCGCACTCGGGCTCGACTCGACTCGGCGTGAACCGAGTCGAGTCGAGTCGATTTGTCGAGTACTCGACTCGTTTTCGGTCTCTGCTCTATACCACTATACTACTATACCTCTATACCTCTATACCACTATACCTCTATACCTCTATACCTCTATACCACTATACCACTGTACATCTATACCTCTATACCACTATACCTCTATATCACTATACTACTATACTACTATACCGCTATACCGCTATAGTGGTTAAGAACTATACATTTATTATATTTAATACTGTTTTTACAGCTATAGAAAATGTGTCTGTCGAATGTGTTATATCGGTTATACCACTGTATATGTGCATAATTGAGTTTGCGACAAAATGGTTTGTTTTTTTCGTGACAGTGATTTTGCCGCATATTCATATTCCCCATCATATGTAGCTAGTTCTTTTCTTTTGTTCTGGATAAACTAATACTCATAGTGCACGAGCAAGGGTCGTCAATTTGGGTTGAACTAAGAACGTTTTCAGTTAAAGACAAAACGAGTTTTTAAGAAGATTGTATCATAACTTGTTATGGTAATTTGATATTTGTTCCGATTGTGGTGTGGGCGAATCGGACTGTGTTCGTCAAGAGAAGACGCTCATTAACATCTATATTTCTGAGCCGTCTTTTTTAGAACATCATTATTTGTATTTATGACGTTTGTCTATAAATGCTTTTACACTCCAATCAGTGATCTCCATTCAATGTTTGATTCCATTTTACTATCATTATTATATGGTCTGTTCAAAATCAAAAGCAGCTGATGACATTCATAGTAACAATTATGTCTGACGAACTCTATAAATTGCAGTCAATTAAGAATAGAAAAAGCACTACTATATTTTAGCGCACTCTACAAATTACAGCTCATTAAATAAAAATAGTGAAATTCAATATCTAGCGAACTCTATAAATTTCAACAAGTTTAAAAATATACTGAAATTTTAATTTGTTTTAAAATTGTTATCAGTAAGTGTTTTTGAAATTTGAAAGTCGAAAGTCGAAAATTTCAAGCCTAAGATCATTTGAAATTTGAATAATTTAAATTTAAAAAACAACTGAAATTGAATTTAACAGATTTTTAATTTCGATTTTATGTTCGCAAATGAGAGGACACGGCACAAAGAACAGTAACAAAATTTGCAGCAGTGTTATAAATTTATTTTCTGGTACTCTTATTTTCAATGATTTTTTTTAAGAAACACCGCGCAGCAAAAACTTTTTTTCTATTAGTAAAATTTACATTTCTTGAAAATGAAATAATTGTAGAAGAAATAAACATTCATTATTGATTGCAGAAGAACATAACGCTGAAGACGGTGGGTTTTCGAAACCGAATAAAAATGATCGGCTCGAAACTGTACAATTCATTCAAATAGGAACTCGCGATTTTGGAGTAATAGGCACAAAACTATGTCATTTATTATCTTTGATTACTGGAGCCACTCAATAGTTCATGAAATCCTATTTCATATTAAAAACTGAAATAAAGAGAAGAAGTCAACAAATTGGAACTTTACAAAAACAATCTAATTTGCGCAACGAAAATTTTTAAAAATGCAAGGAAGCTGTACACTGCACTATTTTTTAAGAAATATCTCTTGAAAATCTGAACTTTTCTCTGTTATAAATGTTCGCTATTGCGAATAAACTATACGTATACTGTTATTAATACATGGGTCACAAGTAATTTCCTTCAATTAGAGGGGCCAGAAACCTTTCTGGAGGGGGCTCAAGCCTTCGTAGAGGAGGCTGAGCCCCCTCTAGCTCCCTTCTGGTTACGCCACTACTACATTTAGTCCAATGCTTATGTTCAGTATTTGTTAACAGATTCAATAAAAACAGCGAACGATATCCCCATCCAGTGATATAGTTCGCTATTGTGAAAGTACATCTTCGATTCACTCAGCATTACTGTCATGATGCAGAAATCTAGACAAGATATAAGTATCAGTGTTATCGTAAAAAAAAAGTGTAAAAACAATCATAGGAGAAAATACTTTTTATTAATAGAACCGATGATAGTTGATATTTGTTCCATCAATTCGATTCTAACCGTCAAATATTTCGATCATCTTAAATGGCTGTTTAATAAGTAAAAACCAGGGTTTCTTGATAAAACTGATTGTGTTTTTTAATGTGTTTCTTCTATCTAATTTTTACAACTTTTTTGCGTTCATTAAATATTAATTTTAGCGTATGACGTCTATTTCAAGATATTATATTTTCTTTTAATGAACTTACCAATAGTATTCTTTGATTTGCTAATGCTGGGAGAAGAAATTGATGGATTTTGTTTCTTCAATGCAATTGCTTTTTGGCGCCATTCCATACTCTTGTCTAATTGACCGGCATGTGACGCAACTTTGCCAAGATCTCTATACAAATCCATGCGTGACGGGTCGTTGGGCAGAAGTTGTTCTAACAAGCGAATAAAGTATTTTTCAGCTAGATCAAATTCACTCATTTCCCACAATATTTTTCCTAATGTTTGAAGATTTGTTTCTGCACTCATAAATTGCTCTTTCATATCCATGAGAACTTGTTTTAAATGATGTTCATCATCACTGCATAAAGTCATTTGGATGATCCATATTTGACCATTCTTGCTACGATTGACACTGTCCAATCGAAAAATAGAACCAAGCATAAATAGCACTTCAGATTCATCTTTGTATTCACTATATGCACTGATATCAGCAAATGGCTTTGTAATTGCCATCTTAGGATTGGCATCAATTTCGAATAATACAGATTCTAAATTTTCTGTACCATCGGGAACCTTGAGGAATGAAAGAGCTTGTTGTTTATCAATACTGGTAGAAAAAAATGAATTTATAGAAATAAATTCACCACGACATTGTTTCAAAGTTTGTAATTCATCACTTGATATCATTTGACTTCGATACACCCGAAGCGAATTCTTAGTTTGATGATTTTTCAATTGATGTTGAATATCACTAATATATTTACGAAACAAAAAAATTGTATGAATATCTGCTGGAGTACGGAGAGCGGCATTAAGAGTCTTGTAAAAGAACGATTCTCGTGTGTACCATAATAAAACATTGTCAGATGAATATTCTTGCTGAAATTCACGAAGATTACTTAATTCAACACTATTACCTTTATATTGTTGTTTACAAAGATCAATAAGTTCTTTTTTATCTGCTTCAGTGTATCGTAGTTGAATAAGACAATCAATCAGAATTTGTAAAAAAACAAATTGACCATTTAAACCTGTTGTTGATTTACCTGTGCCGCCACTTGTAGTAAAAATATTCATTGACAATGGTTCTTCAACCTTTTTCTGGATTTTATAATCAGTTTTAATTCGAACGATGAGTTCATCAAGTTCAACAATAACAGCTTTTACCTATTAAAAAAGAAATTATAAGATGAAGTCGAAATCTTTGAGCCTAATTTTACTTTCGCAAATTTGTCAACCCATTTTCTGTTAACTTCCTTATCCATGCAGTACACATAGATCGATATAACTTGTCGAAGTTTATGAATAGAAGGGACTATTTCTTGTCCCAATCGGCCACTAACGATCATGACTATTCGATCCTTTTGTGATCGTTCTTCAATATATTTTTGACATTGTGCTGTATCTTGAAATTTCTTGAGTTGATTAATAATAGAACGTAATTTTTGTTCGGTATCTCGAACATCTTTAGTGTTTGTATCAACATCGAGCCAGATAAGACAAAAAATTTCAGGATGCTGATAGTCAGCGTTTGTATGAAAGTCATCAGTTGGTAAAATAGCAGTGGTCATGTTAATGAAGAAGACTAAATAGAATAGAAATTTTGAATGTTGTCCTTTTGTTTGAATTATCGAACGTTTGAGTGTCTTTGACAATCTGAAATGAATGTTATACTGTCACTTTTATTATTTTATTTATTGGTATTTATGGTGCCATGAAAGAGGCTACAGGAACAAGATATTCACATTCGTTGAAGAAAATGACATACCTCTAGCCCTTAGCTTTTGTAGGGTGGGAATATGGGTCTGGGCGTAGAGTGTGGGTGTGGGAGTGGGGGTGGGGGTGGGCGGGTGTGGGTGTAGGCGTGGGTAGGATGTGAGTGTGGGGTGTGGAGGGTGGGTGTGGGTGTGCCCAGAGCAAATAATCAGACAAGATTCTGCATCTGATCATGTATGATCTTGTAAGATTTGGTAAAAATCGTACAAAAAATCGTGGTCTCAGAAATCTTACATCAATTTTTATTGTAAGAGTTATAGAAAATCTTACGCGACAATAGAATCTGACAAGAATCTTATAGTAAGAATTCATGTAAGATTTCTGAGACCACTGTTTTTTGTACAATTTCATATGATCGAACCAGACTTAGTGTCAGATTTTTTGGCCTGGGTGGGTGCGGGTGCGGGTGTGGAGGGTGGATGTGGGTGTGAGTGTGTTTGTGGGTGTGGGTGTGGGTGCGGGTGTGAGTGTCAGTAATCGCTTCATTAGCCACACCCACACCCACACCCACACCCACACCCACACCCACACCCACACCCACACCCACACCCACACCCACACCA